GCAATGCTTGCTGTTTTTTGTTGGTCGATTCGCCGAGTAACTTCGATGGAAACGATGAAAAGAAAGAAAGACTACAAAATAACTTGAATTATATCATCATATTGAGATAAATGTACTGATATTTCTTTAACTTGTGACTGTAAAATTAGCATATTTCGCTATAGAACTTAGACCGTAGTCTTTCTTCACTCTTTTTGTAATTGTTGTTACTTTGATAATATCATTTTTTAGTTAAATTGACATTATATTTAAAATCTATCTGCTGTATTTATTTGCATGTTAAATTCCGTGTTTAGAGCTCGGAATATGCTATTATTATACATGAAAGCATTGAGGGGAAACATTATTTGCAGGTCAGTATGTATTACGTAACAGAATGGAGCTCATCTACATACTACTTTAACAGATGAAGATCGTAAAATTCTACAAATTTAATGCAAATATCAACAGCTATTTAGGGAATAACCATTGATTGTTGCTTTCTCTGACAGTGTTGCACTTGCTCTGGAGAAATCTTTGGCTATAATATATGCAAATTGGACAAACTTTGTAATAATGCTCTTGATTTGCTTTTTTCCAGTTACCATTGCTTCCTATAATTTTTTCAAGTAGATATTCTCGATTTTAGTGATTGATGTAAATCATTTAGCTCTATAAGTATCTCATACGTAACGTCTTTTTATTGCTAGCGTAGATCTATCACTATGATTTAGGGTTATTTCCGAAGATTTTTTGTGTCAATCACCAGGCCTACAAAATGCAAAACAGTCCATTAAGATGGACATTAAAAAATTTAAGAGCTTTCTCCGATATTCCTTCTTGTGTAATCTATGGTAGTTTCTTAAAAACATTATGAAACCAATCAGATTGACCTTAAAATTTACCTGATCAAAAATTCGCAGCTGTATCCACCTTCGCGACCCGATCTAAGCCCGCTCGAAAATAACCGATACACACGTTAAGAAAAGAAGACCGTCATACACTGACTGGTCGCACTCTCACCGACATTTCAATGTCATCTGAATATTGCTTCTTAACTTTCTTTTCATTGTTGACAATCAATTAGTTTGGGTCGTTGATCTGGTTTTAAAATGTAATGTATTCTTACGACTGAAGGTACCTGCTACGAGTGCTTTGCGGAAAATGCTATTATTATTTGAATAGAATTATCTGTGCTACTATTGTTGCTCCATGGCATAGGTAGGATTTCCTTGCAAAAAAGTTGTTAACTGAAACTGCTGTACGTAAGAAACTATGTCCGCCATTTTCGATAGAGCGTTCGTTTGGTCGTCGATTAAATTATTCTACCCTAACATTAGATTCCCACATGCAAAAAATTATCCAATATGAAATGAGATACCGTAGCGTCATCTATGAGAATTTGTCACAGCAATGTTTATTCTCTCTGCAATAATTAGAAACATCACTTTAAAAATTAGTGTCTCAGATAACACTGTAGCCAAATATATGCTATATGCTTATATAAGTTAGTTATCTTGAGGTATAATAGGTTGAACAATAGTTTGATCAAATATATCGATTCTCTGGAAAAAGTAGTAGAAGCAATTTTGTAAAGAACTAAGTCTGCCACCATTCTGTTTGTATAAAAATTACTGTTCGGTCAACAGTTTACCAGAAATTCAATGACAAAGTAATATGACATTTTACCTTATAATGGGTAAAGATCCAAGATGATGGTTGTTATTTCATTTATTATAAAACTTTGCCGCAAAAAAAAGGTTCCTTGTATTTTTTCTTCGGAAATTTTGTAATGTAATTCAGATATAGGTACAAATAGCGAAGGATGGGGGTTGTGTCTTAATAGAAATAAGAAATAAATAACAGTCTTACAAAATGTGTCTCCTTTCCCTCTAGTATGATAAATTTTCCAAATAAAACCCATTATATGATAGCAGTATTCTGATGACACCAAAAATTCTCGCATTCATTGCAACACTTTGTTTTCCAAATTGCCCTATTCCCTGGTCCTTAATTAAAATTCTTAAAGTCGATATTGAACCACAGAAGAGGGAATTATGCATGAAGAGCAGATATGTTTCGACAGATTTGTATCAGATTAATCAAAAGCGAGGAAATGTTCTTGCTGATATTATTGGGAGGCCTCAAATGGTTGACTCTACTTGAAATAGAGGTTTCCGACCGAATTTAGTTAACTCTTAGTTACGTGGGGACGAAGACCAACATTTTGCTTTTAAAGACTCCAAATGCTGAAACGCAATATACCACTCCGAGCGTCAGAAGTCACCTGTAACTTATGTAGTTCACGAAAACAAAACTTATTATAACATAAATACACTTTAATCAGTTAAACTATTTATTATAATACTCAAGCTTCTTCTTATTTGTTGACCAAGGGGAAGTTCGTCATTCTCATGATTTCCTTCATCTTCATCTGGGTCTTGTCCAACTAACTCAAAGTCAGGATGGCCCAAGCTCTTCGCAACATTATAGAGTACAATACAAGCAACAATTATTTTCGGCACATTTACCAACTTTACGCGGCAAACATACTGTAGGATATGAAACCGGCGTTTCAGTTGGCCGAAACAGCATTCAGTTATAACTTTTCCTTGTTTTAAAAGCTTATTATAATTTATTTCTGCACCTGGGGTAGGATTTCTGAAGGGAGTCATAAGGCATGGCTCAATACCATAACCGTCATCGCCAAGTAGTACAACATTTGCTATATTTATTAGTTGTGATCTAGTCTGTGAATTTCTGCATATTCTGGAATCATGCACTGATTCAGGCCAACTCACATCAACACTTGTGAACATCTCTCTGGCATCACAAGTGGCTTGCACATTTAAAGTAGGTTTCCCTTTTCGGTTGATATACTCATCTCCATGGCGATTTGGTTTCAGAATTCCTATATGTGTACAATCAATTACACCAATTGCTGTCGGAAATTTATACATGATTTGCCATATCCGCCTGGCCTCAATCAGTTCATGGTTGGTAGTTGGAAACTTGATCCATTCGTTCGACTGTACAACTATGCTGTTCACAACTTTATCCACAGTCCGAGATACCGTTGTTTGACTAACACCAAGTTTCTGACCAATACCTTGTTGATATCCAGGGTCACCGAGATCGCGTAAACACATCTTCATTTTATGAATGCATGAAAGTGCTCCTACTCGAGTTTCCTCATTCTCAACTAAAAATCTGTTCGCAAGCCATTGTACATTTGCTTCGTCGAACCGATATAACTTTTTCGAAGTCACGGCCAAGTGAAGGTAAACGACGTTTGTACGTTTTAACATCTCTAACATCCACAATTTCCACCATCATTTGATCACCTTTCGTTACGAAGTTGAGTCTGCTACTGGCTGCACTCAAAATTTTTGAAGGATATGCTTCATATGCCAGTATAAGGTGAAGATTATGAATATCCATTTACTTCAAATTATTATAAATACCATCTGGAGGATTTCCTTCAAAATTTGCAAGTACAAGAATATCCTTTGTTTTATGAATACAGCTCAATGTTTTGTGTTGACTATTACCTTTTTCCAATTGGTTGCTTTTAATTTTATCACCGATGTTCAAAATGAAGATTTTTGCATGTACTGTGACTAATTTTGTTTCTACTAAAATTCAATACATTGATGGCCTATCCAGCATACCCATACGATGCCCCCAATTGGAAGCAAGTTCTTAGTGTAACTTGACAGCAAGTTTCCTTATTTGATTTATATTTTGTAGGGTTATGATGAGGTGCTCATTTTAGTGCCGTTATTTTTGGTAGTTCAAAGGTGTTTGATGTCATACAGTTATTTCATATAGGAGTTTGTTAGAAGCAGATTGAAACGCGAATTCTAGATTTCTTCAAAAAATATTCGATCAGCTATAAAATTTACGCTAATGAACCAACCAGAATTCCCTGCTAAAATGGTCACCAACTGCACCGTACTTTTCAAAATACAATTAAAAAGCCAGTGCAGTGATATGATATGGGACAACTTGTACAATATATTACATGATAAATTATGCAAAAAAGATAAGTAAGTCATGAATCGTGAACTGCGATCCCATAACCTGCTATGTATACATAACTATTTCCAGAATATCGGAACATACTATGTAAAAAACACATAGTACAAGTCGAGTAAAATATATTTGTATTTTACATAACATTGATTACAAAATTACTTACCATAAGTTATCGAATTATATTTTGCAGTGCGTATCTGGAACCTTGAGAGCATTGCAAGGTCCCACAGATCGTTGACATGCACCCATTGATCTATTTTCCTGTTCGAAATAAGGCTTCATGACACTATGTGATTTTTTATGCCCAATTAAAAATACACCAGCGTACCTTACCCACTCTTGTTCCATCGTAGATACGGTAGAAAAATATGTAAATTTTGTATAGTGACACCTCACATTTCTTTTGCATTGAAATCAAATTGTATAGGACTTGAATTCACACAATATTACCATAATAATAATAATAATAATAATAGTAATAATCATAATGTTTATTGTCACAAAATACAGGTAAATATTAGTATTAATGGAGTAATATAATGGTTATAATACCCAGAACCTTTGAAAGGATAGTCGTCTCTTGTGAAATCGGCCGCAAGGGTTCACCTACAAGTTCACCTGCATTTCTATTGCACCTGATTTAGGGATTCACGTAATGACAGAAGGTCGATTTACGTCAGCACAGATTACCTAAATCAAGAAAGGGATAAATGATAAGCAATGTTGAGTATTACGTCTCGGGAATAGTGCCGGCGACTGAAAATTGAAATAAAAAATTGACATTGCATTCCTATTTCACGGGCTTAAAAGGCTTGATGGATTTTATTACATAACAGATGTCTAGGTTTGTCTGGGCAATCCTAGTAATACTAAGTGTACTAAAAGAGGCGGCAGGTCTCCACAATTCAGATCATAGCAAGATAATGATTCGAAACCAAAAGAAAAATCGTGCGACTTGTTGCTTAAGAAACGGGTACCCTATGGGTATATCTTACTTCTCGAGCAGACGTGAGGGAGAGCATATGCCTCCTTGCTCACCCTAATGGGCGCCCATTATTTTAACAAAATCAATCTTTCTCCATCATTGGGATACATCCATTAAACAATATTGAATAACCGAGGCGCAAGCTGTTAGGTTGTCGCAAATTGAATCATAAAATGATAACGATGGAAATGTTAAAGCAGATTATTCAGGTAGTGTACAATAATAACTTATGAATGCAGTTTGAAGAGAGTTGAGTTATTTAGCAGTAATGGGACTTGGGGGATTAATTTTGTGAAAGGTTCGCAGAAACAAAGTAGATACTTTATGCTACATTTATTATTGCTGCGCAGATAATAGAACAACTAAAATACTCTCACTAATTTCGTTTACGGCGTAATGCAGTTAGCTATTCTATATTTTCGTGGACAGTTGAACATAACGTGACGTTAATTTGACATTAACAGATCATTAGCATAATTATGCTAATTTTTCTCTGTCATGATACGGGTGCGGCTTCAAAAATACATTTTCAATATTAATAGAGCTGTTCGGTTCATTTAGACACAACTTCAGATGTAGTCATATTGTTTATTTCGAATTTTGTATTGTATTGGTCTAAAATCAAAATCGTTTTTTAGATGACGATATGGGATATTCTGACTCGACTTTCATTAGCTACCGTTAGAGTGACTGCAAGCATAGCTTAGGACATTTTGCTTTTGGAACAGTGCCTTTTACAGGAAAAAGGGTATTTGGACCATAAACTAAAATATTGGTATCTACTGTCTTCATTTATACAAGGTGGCCAATATATAACTTTAAATTGCGCGAAATTTTTGATACACGCATTTCAATAGGTGGTGCCGTAGTAGTTCTTTAAAGCACATGTGTCTAATTCAACATGGAGCGCTACACGGTCCCACAACGCATCCGTATTGTTTTACATAAATTACGCTACGACAGGATTTTGAACAAGCAGATGAATTAAAGACTTGTCAAGGTCGTGCCATGTTCGAACTGTTCGTAGTCAGGAAAATATCGAGAGAGTTCGTGAAAGTGTAGTGGAGCGCCCTGAGACATCTACCAGACATCGTTCGCAAGAACTAGGTATTGTCACACGTCATTATGCACTATTTTAAAAAGGACTTGCATTTGCGTCCATACATAATTCAGTTAACCCAAGAACTACAACCTAGTGACTATGAAAGTTGCCGACAATACACTCCTGCCACTACGATATGAATGGATTTGTTGTTAGGCAGAATTGTCGTATCTGGGCATAAGAGAACCCATCATCATCCATTAACGACCACTACATCCTCGTCGAGTCACAATTTGGCACGGTGTTTGATATGGAGGAGTCATTGGACCTTACTTCTTTGAAAACGCTGCAGGTAATTATCTTACTGCCATTGACGAGCGCTACTGTGATATGGTGCAAAACTTTCTGGCTCCTCCAATCCAACAATTTAACTTGCAAAACATGTGGTTACAGCAGGACGGAGCAACTTGTCACACAGCTACGTAAACAATGAATCTTTTGCGAACAATATTTCCGGGTCATTTAATTTCTCGATTCGGTGATTTGAAAAATAGGGTTTATACCAACAAACCAAATACTGTAGAGCAGCTGAAGAATCATATTACGGCAGCGGTTGAAAATATTCCTCCAGAAATCTACCAAAAAGTGATAGAAAATGTAATCAACAGGGCTTAGGTTTGCGTGGACATTAATTTGTCTGATATTATTTTTCATACATAATTTACAAGTTTTAATAAAAGATTAAGATGAAAAAAATGGACGTATTTAATTTCATTTCGCAATATATTCAAGATACAAACCAATCAGTTACATATCGGCCACCATGTATATAAATACAATAGATCGTCATGTACTGTTCTTCACCTCCAGCTTTTCATTGAAGACGACGACGCACTTGAAGATGTAGCCAAGGACTTAATAGCTGAGATAACTGCCTTTATTATGCCTACTTTACCACCCTGAAAAATAGCTTCAATCAGAAAGTGCTCAAAATATCATGTATTTGGTGTGCAATTTAAACGAGGATTGCGATAATTATAAATCCGCATTATCTGCATCTTAGTATATAGTACCGTTTTTTATGCTCAGCTCAAGTGTCACCTAATTTTACTTACAGGGGTGATGAAAAGAGCAAAAATAATAAATATGGATCTCAATTAAATGTATTTACTACGTATTTACTAGCGAATTTATTAACTTTCCAATAAGTGTAGAAATTCAATGAGATACGATGATCAAATCGATATTGATTTTGTTACAATAACAGAAAACATGTCACATGAATTTCATTTAAGCTATATAGAAAAAGGTAAAGTCTTCTTCTTGCGAGGAACAAGCAATTTGCTAAAAGGCTCGACCGGTCCCGTAGTTATTTCAAGTCATTTAAGCAAACTTGAAGAATAAGGGACAAAACGAAAGGTGTTCACCGAGGAATAGTCTAAAAAGACATCTCTCACGAATTTTATTTTGATCATTTTAGAATTATTTAGAATACTCAAAATCTTTTCTAAATTATGTACGATTCAAATACTCTTAATGGCTGGTAGTAAAATGCTTATCGGACACTTGAATGTACGTTCCCTCATGTCTAGTTTTGATGCTATTGTAAATTTAATAGCATTAGAAAATTTTGATGTATTCGCTATCACAGAGACGTGGCTAAATTAAAATATTACTGATGATGTGGTTATTATTAGCAACTATTGTTTCTTGCGTTGTGATAGAGAATCTCGTGATGGTGGAGTTGGAATCTATGTTAAATCAAATTTACATGCTGAAAAGGTAGATATTCATACAAATTTTGGTGATTTTATCGAAAGAATTTGGGTTAAATTGGTTGCGGGTAAGTGTGAACTGTTAGTAGGTGTTTTGTACCGACCACCCTCTAAAAACATACAACAATGTGCAGATTTATTAAATGGTTTCCTACCCAGCCTCTCGTTATATCATCATAACATCGTGACATTGGGAGATCTGAATATGATTTTTTTTAATAACAATATATTCTCACTGAGTTTTGAGCTGATGGGGTTCACACAAATCGTAACGGAAGGCACCCGGGTCACAGATAGTACTGCAACATTAATCGATCCAATATTTTTAAATAATCCTCAAATATGCAGCTATTCTTCCGTCATAGACACGAATGGTATTTCGGACCACAGACTCGTATTTTTTCATTTTGACATTCCATCTTATAAAAGAAAACAAAAATGTATCACAATCAGGGATTTTAAACATTTCAGTAAGGATGATTTTCTTATCAATCTTTCTACATCGGGCATAGATGAATTATTTACGAAATCTAATATTGATGAGAAGGTAATGCACATTACAAGCGTTATCGTGGAAACCTATAATAAACATGCACCTTTTAAAACTGTAAGAGTTAATAAGCCACCATCACATTGGTTAACAAATGAACTACGCACTGTTCTTGATGAAAAGAATACTGCAGAAGCTTTATATAAAACTAATAAGACCGTGGACGCCTATAATAACTTCAAATCGCTTAGAAACCGTGCTCTTAACATGATCAGGAGGGACAAAAAGACAGATATCGAAAATTTGGCAAATGAAAATGATTCAAAAAAATTATGGAAGTCTCTCAAACAACTTGATATAAATTTTCGTAGTAAACCAACCCTTCCGGCAAGTTTTAATGACCCTACCAAAATTAATGATTATTTTATGTCTGTTTATAGCTATAAACCTGTTGATTCACTAGTTTGCGAAAACTATTTCAAAAATAAATTGAGCTCTGAATATATTTTTTCATTGAATAAGATTAGTTCAAATGACGTATTACAGGCAATAGGGAGCCTAAAATCTGATGCGAAGGGAATTGATGGTATATCTCTGTCAATGATCCAGCTTTGCCTGCCAGTTATTCTCCATCACATCGTCCACATCTTTAACGACTGTTTGGAAAAAGGCTACTTTCCAAACACATGGAAACAAGCTCTAATTATTCCAATTCCTAAAAAAATTAAACCCACTGAGTATAATGATCTCAGACCTATCAGTTTATTACCAATTTTATCCAAAATTTTAGAAAAAATTATAAAGTTCCAATTGACCGCTTACCTAGAAAAATTCTTTATACTTCCCGACACTCAATCCGGATTTAGAAAAAATTATAGTACAACATCTGCCCTACTCAATCTGTAAGACAATATTTTAAGTGCCTTAGATAAGAAAATGGCACTAGCCTTAATTTCTATAGACTATTCGAAAACCTTTGACAGCATCAATCATAAATTATTACTTGCTTCATTATTTTAACCCAGATAATGTCAATAATACTACTCAAATTTTACAAAACGATGTTAATAAATTAATGAAATACTCTTTAGATCACAATCTACTTATTAATCCACAAAAATCTAAAATGTTATTATTTTGCGCACAAAGAAAAACATACAATGTAACACAGCTCTTGAACATTCAGATAAATAACCAAATTTTGCAATTTTCTGATTCTGCAAAAATTCTTGGTGTTGTTTTTGATACAAAATTAAGGTTTATTGAACATGTTAAAAGTCTATCTCAGAAAACCTACCTACGGCTGCGCACTCTTATAGCAAACAGGTATTTACTAAATTTTAAGATGCGTAAAAAACTATGTGAAGCATTGGTCATATCTATACTAAATTATTGTAATATCGTATACTATACTTGTTTAGACAATTTCACTAAAAACGTTATTCAAGTTATTCAAAACAATTGTATACGATTCATTTTTGGCTTACGTAAATTTGATCATGTATCGGCGAAATATCCCGTTCTAAACTGGTTAAAAATTAATGACATGGTCAAGTATCACTATTCAGTTTTTGTTCACAAATTGCTGCTCACGTCTAAACCTTATTACTTGAAGGAAAAAATTTCATTTAATAATGATGTTCACTGTAGAACTCTCAGAGAAAATAATATTAGAATACCCCTGCATACGTCTACACTTTTTAAACGCAGTTTTTCTTACAATGTTGCTATTATTTATATGACCTTCCTAAAGTATATAAAGAATTTTCATTACCTGTCTTTCGACAAAAAGTTAAAACATTATTACTCAACCCTCCAAACATATAATTTACGTAATCATTCATTTCTTTTTTATTCCATCTTTAATTCAGATTAATAATTTTTTGGTGCATTTGGGTTTGGAAAGTATGCCTTTATCTCTTTTTTTTTTTAAATTTTACTTTCGATGTAATGAACCAAATCTGTTTGTGGATAGTGTATTCTTTTGAACATCTGCTAGAGACTATAATGGTTAAGTGTAGGAGTGGCAGCATGGTAAACTTCGCCCATATAAGTCTGACATTTGGCTATACTACAATGTAATTGTGGATAAATAAAGACGTCTATTATTATTATTATTAATAGTGCAAGAATGTTAGGCAAATGTTTCGCGATGAACAACTGGATGAATTTTGAAGGTCATTCAGAGGAGGCTGATTTTTTCTGATGAAAAAAAGTTTATATTAGATAGATTCAATTGCTACCAGCACGATTTGCGGCAAAGGCTGCAATATTTTACAAAACGGAATATTGTCTGGAGGACTTTGGTTTCGGTGTCTGTTCAAGAATGGACAGTCCAGAATATTCGGAGTTCTCAAAGCAAAAAAGCCATTTCTAAACGGTAATATTGGTTGACATTATCAGTTTCAACAAAACAACGCACGAAGGGATGACAGTAGGCAGCCGACGTCAAGCCGAAACCGGGTGATAGGCAAAGTCATAGCAGCTAGCAGAAAAATATTTAAAAAAATTTTATGTATGTGTTTTGAAAATTATAGGTCTTTGAAAAAGATATAGAAATTTCACACCCTACGGCAGTCTGTCAACTCCTGTTACTACAAATATTAACTTCTTTTGGATTTTATTTTTACAATGTAATGATGAATGATGCATCTTCAGGAAAAATTGTCACGGGATTATGAGCCCCGAGTTGCTTTTTGTTGCACAATGTTAGAAAGACACAGGAAAGATCCACAGTTCTTTGAAAAAATTTTATGGTCGGATGAGACCACATTTAAGAAAGATGGGTACATGAAACTGCATAACGTACACGAGTGGCAGAGACTTTGACTGCTGAAGTTTATTTGGATTTTTTGAAAAATCATGTACAAAATTTATTCGTGGACGTGCCACTGAGTATTTACAGGGACATGTGGTTTCAGCATGATGGCTGCCCAGCGCACTATGCACTCTCAGTGAGAGAGTATCTCGATCAAAACTTTCCAGGCAGATGGATAAGGCGGTCTGGTACAATACCGTGGACAGCCCGATCACCTGATTTGAAACCTTTGGATTTTTTTACTGGGGAACTGTAAAAGAAAAAGTGTATTTCAAGCCGATTCAAAATGTAGCTGAGCTACGGCAAAAACTATTGGAAGCAGCTGAGTTTGTTAATAACCGTGGATTCGCTCGTTTAATAACCCGATCTTTTTTAAGAAGATGTCGAGCGTGTATTGCGGCTGAAGGAAAACAGTTTGAGCATTTGCTGTAAAGGTAAATCATCATCAGCAGCATTTTGACGCCCACTGTTGTGCAAACAGTTATCCTTAAGGGTCCTTGTGCGTTTTCATAATCGCTGTTTAATTAGGAAATTTTGAAAAATTTTCATCAGTTTTTTTTCTAATAAAAATTGTGCATAAGTTAACGAGTAATCTTCTAAGTGTTATACCATTTTGGAATCGTTATTAAATGCGCCAACTTTTAAGGTTACTTGCCAAACTCTCGTAGTACAGTTTTTTCCAGTACAGCCAGTTAAAGTTGAGCAAAGTTTTACTTTGGAATACTTGGTTGGGAAATAAGTGGCAATTTTTCCTGAACGAGAAAAGTTGTCTGTAAGGTTGAGACACCAGTTTAAAGATGCATTATTCATCATTACATTGTAAAAATAAAATCCAAAAAAAGTTAATATTTGTAGTAACAGGAGTTGGCAGACTGCCGTAGGGTGTGAAATTTCTATATCTTTTTCAAAGACCTATAATTTTCAAAACACATACATAAAATTTTTTTAAATATTTTTCTGATAGCTGTTATGACTTTGCCTATCACCCGGTTTCGGCTTGACGTCGACTTCTGGGACACCCTGTAGAAGCCATGGACTGGCCCTCGTGATCACGATATGAACCCTATGGAAAACCTTAGGGGGACATTATTACGTTGACTATTTGCAGATCAGATAAATCACTTTAAAGCTGCATTAGAGGGCGTTCGGGCCAATTTGGAGACAAACATTGAACAGTTTGACCTGATTGCAAAAAAATTTGGACCAACCCATTATATGAAGTTGATTTTGTTAATTTTTGCTGAGAAAGGTGATGTGGCTGTAGTAACGCACCATTGGATTTTAAATCTCACTAGGTGGTTCAAGGTCAACAACGCTAAAGATGTGAAACCTAGCATTGAAGTAAAAATATCATATACCTAGCTGAGTATATACTATCAGTTACACTGGACGATTTACATTTTTTTATAATCAGCTTACAATTACAAGCATAAATGAGAAAGGGTAACTAAATTATCACATTATCCTTATGAAGTAATTATGAGCATTATCGCTGTATTACTTTTACAGCCGCAATTTACAATACAACCATAATGGGATAGTTAATTTTAAGAAATTGGTAAGCTGTTGCAGACAAATTTATGCAATTTGACATTCAGCAAGGTCGAACTGTCATTTTTTAAGTATTGATAACCGCAGTGAAACGTTCTTTCTTGTAGCGAAAAGGTTTTATTACATTGAACTATTTCTGTCGCAACGAGAATTTGTCTTTATCGGCTGTCCTCCTAATACCTCTGAAAAAAACAACTACAATGCTTTGAGGAAGCATCCTGTTTCTCTTAGCGACAAAAAAATTGTTGAATGGTGAAGCTGCTATTGCGACAGATATTGTTTACGCAGCACTAGTGTGCCACTGCATGTCTTTGTCAGAATGATGACTGGAAGTTCTACGGGTGGATCTATATCTATCGATATGTGATAGGTATAAGTAATATTTGGTGTATACTTACTCCATCTCCTCCAGCACTGCCACTAGCTGATGTTTTGAAAAATCCTGAGAGGAAACTTCCAAGGTCTATCGTGGGCTTTTCTGGCTTATTCCATTCATCTGTCATCCCCATTTCGTCACCATCTTGAGGATCAGGCTGACAAGCAAAACATATAAAATTTAACTACAAATATCTTGAATACTGTCAAAAAGGCATACGCTGATGATACTCAACCTTGCAAGACTTTCAAAACTGCTGATGCTGTTACTGCAAAAGCACGTATGAATCTGGAACCTCATTATGTGACCTATCGCGTGAACATAATTTAACCCTAAATTCTGACAAATGCAAAGTATTATATTTTGGCAATAAAAACAATGTTGATATTTTAAGAGACACCTTAACATTCAGCGTTAACAGCCAGACATTGAAGGTGTGTAACCCCTCTCGTAACTTGGGATTAGCTATAAACACAAAGTTTCGTTTTAGTGATTATGTCCAAAATCTAATCCGTAAGTCATTTACGCCACTCAAAATATCTTGGGAGAAACCTAAAAAAGACCTTACTAGCCCTAAGCCACCTCAACTTCTGCTACGTCATTTATGCACCCTGTCTGACACTAGTAGATAAATCTTGTATTCAGAAGGTTGGAAGCAGTTTTTGTAGGTTAATTTATGTATTTAGGAAGTACGACCTAATAACACATAAAAGCAATGAGTGCAAGCGACTTAATTTGGAAAAGAGACATAGACTGCACCTATGCACATTCACTCACAAACTTTCGATCGGACCTGATCCTCCAAATCTGGCAATTTTTTAATGAAGTCGGTTATCATTTTATTATTATTATCAAAATGCAACATTTATATAGAACTTTTATAGGACTTATATGTAACGTTTTCTAGATCTCAATGCAAAAAACTTTAATCAGGTCAATTTATAACGGGTCACCCCGTATGTTCATGAGATTACCGTATCCAGCGGATTCCAACCGGCTCATGTAGAGATTTACGGAGTAAACTATAAATAACAATAGTACGGACATGTCTTTATCTCGTCCGCTGTCCGAATGAGTCATAAAGTTGTAGAGGAAAAAAGTGCTTTACCAGAGACAGATAACAGCGGTTTTGCACTCACATGTGCCGCGTTGCGAGAACAGTGCATTGTGGCTGCTGCAGTTGCCCACGCAAACGTTCGTGTGGTAATGCAGTGCTTTTAGTAACAAAGCCATTTCAGGAAAAAAATGAGGATAAGTCCGACGACAGAAAGTATTCCACTGTATTTCTGCTGGAGTTCATCCTTTGGAGAATGTTAGGTGTAACATGCAATGGCAACGATACATCAATGTATCGAAGGCTTCGACACATCGAACATCGATGTTTTAGCATTGACAGTCATATATCGATATATCGATGCATTGACATCGAAGTCATCATCGGTATACCTTAACTCTGCTACCATGACTATATCTTGACATTTTCAGACATGGCAGAAATCTGTTTTGTATACGCCAGCAATATCAATATTTTCATCATAGACGCTGGAGGGACTATAGACTCGGCTTGATGTTCTGTGCTGTCATCAATATCATATCTTGCTAATTCGTATAATTATACTTTACCGCAATACTGCAATAGGTTGCAGAGGTATCATCCTTCTATCCTCACATGAAGTTCTTGTCGCGTTTGACAATACTAGATTTCTTGCTCTTGAATTAGATAGGTGCCTCAGGTGAGACAACCATATAATTTATTTAAGAAATAAGCTCAGTGTGATATTTTATACGAATAATTGGTAATAGTGGAATAGAAAGACTTTGAAGGTTGTGTATTACTCAAATTTTTAGTCTAGGTATGGGATGTTCGTACAGCTGTCTCCAACGTGTCAGTGATCGTGTCCAAGATCCCGCGACACAAATTCCGTTCATCTTGTGAGGCTATATAGACGGAATTCACACGGCCGGATCCAAGACACCGACAAGTCACCGACAACTGAGCAAAGAAACCAATTGACGATATGTTTTGAAGTCTAACCTAGTCTGCATGTTCTAAACTGCATATATGTATATTCAAGTGTCTTTGTCTGTATTAGGCATGTAGCACATTGACCATACTATATGGAGTAACTGTTTCATAGCTCCGGTTTAATATAACTTTTCCATCGAGCATGCAAGCGTACGCTTATCGGTACTTACCGGACCGCTCAAGGCTGGCAGCACCCCAGCAAATATTTTGCCTACCAACTTCCCAGCTCCTTTCTAAAACAGACAAACACAGTTATACAGAAATTCAGCGAAAACGGATTAATAAATGGTAACTAATATTTATACCTCGTACTAACGAAACCTTTTAAGTTTTCTGATCGAGTTTCAATTCATTTTGAAAAATAGTGATGATTTTTCAATATTTGGGAATATTCTAAAGGCTTTGAAGAGCCTCAAAATGATTTCTTGAAATACCACAGAAGCCATAGGGACTTAGTAAAAAAATAAAGTAGTCCGTATCTATGAAATGGAAGAGGAATTTTTAACATTTTGATGTAGTATGTACTTACGGGTCCAGGTGGTATCGCAATTCCTTTGATGATAGCTCCAGCCAGTCCTCCAACAAAAGCTCCAAGATCTGATCCTTCTCCACCCTAAATAAAGTAACAAAGTATGTTTTGACAAGTATTTACTTTGGAATGAGATCGATATGTACAGTGTCATCCAAAGGTTACTAAAAAACAACTGCATTCCCTATAAACCAGTACGTACATACGCCTTCTCAGTAACAAAAACACTTTCAAAGAAGTCTTACTTCAAACTCTGAAACGTAATACGAGATTCTCCAAAATTAGGAAGGAAGAAGGAAGAATAAAATATTTATGCTTGCATCTACACAGCAACTTGGAAATATCGCATGCTTTGTACGGTCAAATCTCTCTACTTTCTGTATATTATCTACAATAGTCCAAGATCTCGTGTACTACTGAATGTGCTACCCGCTAGATGAAAATTTCCTACTATAGGCGTCTGTTACGAGGGATGTCTTTTAAGTTTTGCATATAGAAACATAGTAGGCCGCGCGGATCGAACGTCAGTACTGAATCTTAACCTCACTCTTTAGTAAACTTAAATTCAAAGTTTCACAACAATACGTGTTCTGACTGCAGTGAATTTTTAAGTTTCACCAAGTCATTAGAAAAATGGAACTCAACCGAGAACATTTCCGCGCCATAATTTATTACAACTTTCAGAGACAATTATCGCAACAAGAATGCCTTGCTGAGTTACTGTCTGTTTTCGGCAACGAAGCGCCAGATCAGTCTACAATTTCCCGTTGGTATGGAGAATTCAAACGTGGACGGGTGCGTCTTAGCGACGATTCCAGGGTGGATGCACGAAAAACGGCAGTCACCCAGGAAAACGTCGATGCTGTGCGCAAACTCATCATTGAAGATAGACATGTGACATATCGCAAGATTGAGGCGTCTTTGAAGGTCTCAAAGACCTTGATTCAAAAAATTTTACATGAAGAATTAGGAGTAAGAAAATTAGTTTCTCGTTGGATACCCCACCTGTTGACTGAAGAGCAGAAAGCAGCCAGCGTTAATTGGTGTCAAAAAACGCTTGACCGTTTCAATTCCGGAAACTCAAAAAATGTGTACAGCATTGTTAGTGGTGATGAATCGTGGACTTACTGTTATAAATCAGAAAATAAACGACACTCGGCTGTTTGGGTGTTCCAAGGTGAAGAAAAGCCAACAAATGTAATCCGTTCTCGAAGTGTTCCGAAAAAGATGGTCGCGAGATTTGTATCAAAAGCGGGTCATATTGCAACAATTCCTCTTAATGAGCAAAGAACTGTTACTGCGGATTGGTATACCATCATTTGTTTGCCAAAAGTCATCACCGAGCTTCGAAAAATCAACCCCGAAGAATCATCCTCCACCAAGACAATGCAAGCTCGCACACAGCCCAAAAAACAAGGCAGTATTTAACGGAAGAAAACGTGCAATCATTGGACCAAGTCATAATGATTTCTTTACTTTCCCGAAAATTAAAAACAGACTGCGTGGTCAAAGGTTCCAGTCACCAGAAGAAGCAGTTGACGCATTCAAAAATGACGTTTTGGATCTGCCAGCAAACGAGTGGAATAAGTGCTTCGAAAATTGGTTCGAGCGCATGCGGATGTGTAATAATCTTCGTGGAGAATACTTCGAAAAACAATAAAGTCATTTAAAACTACCTACCGTGTTGTTTTATTTCCATATGCAAAACTTAAAAGACATCCCTCGTAGTGGTGTCTCAGGGCGTGACGCTAGAAGGAATTGCTTGCATTTGCGATTTTGGAATTTCAGGTTCATAGACGTACTACAGAAAAGTGTTGGACGATCGACTAGAGTAATGGGTCATTATTGAAATTCCACAAGCTGACTTGACGGCTCATATCTCAGATCGGGCTAATTTTTTGTGCGGGTACCTTCAGGAATGAATGTTTATAATATTGTAGGGTTATAAGAAGAACGGTTTATATGGAGACGTCCTCTAAGTTTAAAGGTTTATAAAAATGTTAATTTTTGCATTTTAGCAAATTTTCGTTTTTTTAGCAACCTATCAGGTCCCTGGAAAGCATTGAGCTACATAATATGTATACTATTCCGAAACAACATTGTTCTTGAAACTAAAAATGATATCCAAATTGCAATTTGACAATTCGTTCAACCGATATTTCAGTAGAAGGTGAATCTTTCGAACTTTTTCACTGTTTTGCTGGGCTGACAATTTGTATACCTACCAAAACACAAAAATCCTGAAAATATATTTTTTTTTTTCGTAAATGGGAAGAACAAATCTATCCTCTTATATAAAGTGAACTTTATATAAGAGGACCTTGGACCTTCAAATTGGTCTAGTAGGCCTTTGGATCCAATTTTTGATAGTTTTTTACCATTTTATGATAATAAAGAGCGGGTCCTGCCTCAGATCAGTTTTTGAAGATTTGAAGTGTCCATTTTAGCATTTTTTGTATGTTTTCTACTGTTCTACTACACCTGTGTCAGGTCAGTTGAATTTTAAATCGAACATTATCATCTTACTTAAGAAGGTATAATTGTAGTCACCGTTCTTGGCGGTTACATCATCAACTCCATATGAAATAAGTAAACAGATCGGGGGAACGCTGCACAGACTAATCTTCAGCACATCTGCTACTCTCTCCAGTACGCATGAAGTGGAAACACTCTAATAAATTTAGCATGAACTGTAGGCCTTCTCCATTGATCGTATTTCCGGGCATTATACAACTTTATACTTTGAAGATTGATAACAGGAAAACTCGAGACACATAACTAAAAACCGTATGTCTTTGAGCTTACTGAACAAACGTTCACACACAGGGCTAGGTTGCATGTGTATGTATGTTAGAGATGGAGATATACAGGGTGGCGCATCGAAAACGAAACGTTTAAAATAAGGTATCACTCGACCCCCCTTTCCATTTGAGATTTTAGGGTTGGTGTCACCTCCGCTTGGGGGCTGCACGTGCTAACGTGATTTTTTGCCAAACTTGTGTCCCCTCGAAAACAAAATCGACGGGTCTGAGCGTTTTTAAAAAAAATACTAAGCTGCCGTAAATGCGTCTGTTTCGTTTTCGATGCACCACCCTGTATAAAGTGATACTGGTAGTCTCACTTTGACCCGCCAAGAACGGTGATGACAACTATACATATATATCTCTTAATCACCACTGTTTACCGCAGCTTTTGAGAAATGTCTTGAAAAAATGACGTGACCACGGCGACAGTGCTGTTTCCACTTTCTTGCGAAGAAAAAATAGTTTTGTGTATTTTTTGTTTTGGAAGGGATTTTTTACTTCCACCTTGTAGTGTGAAAGCAATGCAGCTTCCATGGATCTTTTCGGAGTTTCGGAATTGGTGGGTTTCAAAGTTATGGTAAAACATTTAATTACCCCATAAAGCGTCTAGCGTCACTGTGCTTTTCCAAGAAAAGCACGTTAGATTAGAATTTGCGTCATGTACATCGGAATTTTGTTCAGTTTAAGTTGTGCGACTCAAAAATATTGGAGGAAACTTCATGTATCTCACTAGGAAAATCGCAAAAACCCACTTTTCTTTTCTTAAGTGTTAAAGTTACACTCCTTTCCAAATTGAAATGCAATAGAAGATAGACTTATAGGTACGTTGTCAAGATAGCTATTAAATCTTGAAAAATGGGTGTTTGAGGCTACCATCTGCGAGTTTGAAAAAAACACAGAAAATGGTTACAGAATATAGTCATGGCCCTCTTGCCAATTTTGATAATTAATCGATAATACAACATAAAAACGATACAACGTTTCTGGATAAGTTTTTGGACCTAGGCTTCCAGTCTCCCATCATTTCGGTCGCTACAAATAATCTTGCACCATTATAATGTTAAACCCGCGGATCGGTACCCTTCATTTCTAAAGCACCCTAATTTTCAAACTTAGAACATGCACATTACCTTCTGCTCACCTAAAACTTTGTTCAGTATTTCGTACCGTTCGGTAAAGGCCTGGGACTACAGCCCCCCTTCCCTTAATACACCACGTCGAATTTTAGTTTTGACCCTAGTTATTATGAATTCCAAACAGTTGGTACCTGTAAGCTACTTAACTTACATCCGATAAACATTTCGTGGAGTACGGAGTCCAGATTACTAAGGACTTGATCTGACATGAACACATCTTGGCAGCTGCCGGCAAACACCATATTTGTTTAGGCCTAAGAAGTACTTTTCGTCACATAACCTCCAAGGTCCAGATAAGACCTAGCCTCGAGTACTGCTCACAACAACATTAGCAAAGTTTTGGAGAGGAGGGCTGTCCAACTGATCGATGACTTCTCTAACGGACAGTCCTGGAACCCTTTCACATCGATAGGTCATTAGTGATCTAGCTCTCTTCTAGTGTTATGTCAACAGGCTTTGGCTCGTCAGACCTCTCCTCCATGATGCTGCCGCGAGATGTGTCTGCCAGACAAACCCGCCTGACTTCTGGCTCCTATCCTTAACCGTGTCGAACTTTGTTCATCGAGAATTCTAGGGTACCAAGACTGTGGAACAAACTACCTAACGAGACTTTTCCAGTTCTTTTAACCTTAGGCAGTTCAAAAATCGTATTAAGCTCCTCATATCAGCCATGGTACCCTTGGGCAATGGGATCCCGGATTGTAAATGCATACACCCATGCATACAGCCCCGTGCAAGTCCCGCTAGTGACGTAATTCATCCGTAATTTTCCGTTGATATGAAGCCAGGCTAACCGCACAGCGCCGCTGCGGTCCAATATTAAAGTTCCTTGAAAATTTAATGCTGGCTAAGGAACCATAACAATGAATCTGGCTTATTTAAAATTCTACCGAAAATATGAACAGGCGAAAAATCGTGCCTGTTATACACTGAATTCAATTATAATGGCGTCACTGGACCATAGCATGATTTGCATCGTACGAAATTTCAATGGAAGGAAAATCGAACGGAATACGGATGTGGTCCGCACCCAAAATTGGTATGTTAACGAACAAGCTTACCGTGCAATTTGTTTGTTTTACGCTTCAAGAAACTACGGATTTTGAAAAAATGAAGAATTAAAATAGTTGCCAAATGAGGATATATTTGACTGTGTGGCGATCTGTACTGGAATAGGAATTAAGGCGTTTTCCGTTGTTGAAACGTCTCCTGAAGGATGTTAGGAAATTCGGCTTCTTTGGTGTCCTTCTTATACGTTTTAGTCCAGTCATTTTAGAACACGCATAACATATAATTTGAACATTTTACACAACGAGCCAATTTTATTCAAAATTCGAATAAAGTATGTGTTCAAACAGCTGATGCTTCTGGAAATGCAGCAAGAAAAGCAACGAGGCACGGAATATATACATACACCTTGGGAAAAAACATTATTATACATTATGATGAGGAAGAGAGATGGAAATATACAAAAGTATGTAGGTGCGTGAAAGACACTCGATTGTAGGATCCTATGTGGCAGCGTCGGAGTGTGACGGACAACGGGGTAAAGTAGAAGAGTGATAAAAGAGAGAGATGGCAGAACGGGCGCTGGCGCCTACCGCTTAGACGGATGCGCTCAACAAATGCGATTTGTTTCTCCCATTCGCAGAGTTGCCGATACCAATATGTCATATTTCTTTCGGGACTAATAGCTGCGGATTCCACATAAGAGTATTCCAAAAATGAAAAAAGTTCAAATTATTAAAATTATATTAATGTTTCATGGTTCAAATCATATTTTTCATGTTTGTATATTGTTGTATAAATGATTTTGTAATCCCTATTCTTGTTGCCAGTAGAGATACAACAGTATTGAGAGAAATCATGGACCGATAGATAGGGCTACAACTACCATATGACTATCAAATAGTAGTGATAAACAGGGTTTGTTTATAGCACAGTTGCCTGGTGTGGCGAATTTGCGCCATAGGGGCGATTTGACAACTTTGAAGGATAACTATAACGGTTACTATGGTGCCCGGTATTCGGGAATCTGGCAATATCTGATGATTCCTAACGTTTATTATGCCAGATTGTTTGCTGACTTGCGCAGTACAACATGACAATCAACGTGACTGAGCACCTGGTAACCCTGGTTTAAGGTGTTATATTTAAAGAGCTTGGGGCAGTTAGGTATCTAGGTCACATTTTTTAATGTATTTCGAGAAATCCGTAATGTTGAGTAAATACTAGATCACGTTTCTTGCTTAGTTTGCTGAAAATTCTACAATAGACGTACATTTTGAGAAACAGAGATTTGGTGACGACAAAATCGCAAAAATATAACGCATTTTCGTAAAATAATTTCTTTTTTGAAAAGACTGTGGCTTGATGACCCATTGGACGAGTATAGTGTCCCGCTCCGCTTTGAATATTCGAAACACTATACTCCAGCAGCATTCAGCTTCAATGTTATCTTTATGAAGTTCTAACGTCTAGGCCATGCTGATTAAAAGCTTGAATGAATCAACACTTAACTCTAAATTCATCACAATTCGGGAAACTCTACTCAAATTGGCAACACAGCGTATCTGCCTATTATTCTCATTCGTGATACAGGTCTGCGGTTAACGGTAGGAAATATGTACGAATAGCGACGAAAGTAGACGAGCCGATGCGCTGTTGCCAAGAAATGATTTCCCATGTAATTATAACAATGGTTTTTCCTAAGGTGTATAGTGTAACTAATGGAATTACTTTCATGCATCCACCTCCCACACACATATGCAATCTGCTTCTATGCACGGATGATTGTGTAAGCTCACATGAACATGTATTGTGTTTCTTACTTCCTACGCTTACTGGCGATGAAGTATTGTAATTTCGCAAAATTTCGAAAATTATATATTATTATTTTTGATGTTATATGACTTGTGGATTGACATCTGTCATTCTGGCGATCTGGAGATCTATCGTTGTGTCCTCTAATCTTTGATCCGTCCATAACTTGTAAAGTACTGCTTGGGATTGGATGACATTTTCACACAAACTTACAACTATGCCAAGGGCTTTGTAGTTTTTGAAAATCGGTCAAGTGACGTTGAAGAGAGGACAAAAAAATAAAAATCACTCAAAATTGGTTTCTAAGGCGGTTCACAGGAACCTGGTCATTTTTTTTTTTAATTTATGGGTAGAAGATTGGAAGGGTTGTACACGGTGGAGGTATTGCAATTTCTTGATGCTAGGGTATTTATGCCCAGTCATCTTTGGCTTTTCTACGCACTTATTAGAGATACTTCACACATCATTGATGTTTCGATACGCGTCAGCTTCTGCTTCCGGTGACGTGCCCGTCCTGTTAAGTGTGCTGGCATTACTGACACGCTGACGTATCTGATGACGCGGCGCGGGTAGGGGCGGCGTTGCCAGATGGACAACTGGTAGGGCAGGAAAAGAATGAATATGGACTATTTGTATGGGTCAGTTTGTAACTAACTTTTTTCTTAGAGGGCTTAACTTATACTGAACATAATCCTTTATGAATTGACGACACTACGTGGGAAATGCGGAGTCAACCTGCTTGACGCCATGTGTAGTTTTGCCTCAGCGTTCTACATTTATGCTTATCAATGGGCGAATTGAGCTTGCCCTTGTTAATCTCCAATATAAAGCATAGTACACATAGATATCACTATGTACATTGTCAACAATCTGTAATTAATTTATAGGAGTGTTTTCAAAAAGTGGATGAAAACAAAGGAATTCTATCACCTAAGCCAAGTGTGTGCAAAAGTGAGTAGCAGCTGCGGTAAGGATTGGCTTGCGCAGTGTGCAAGTTAGCTCTTTAAGCTCTTTCTAAGCGACGCTAGTTGATTTGTTTACTTATTTCGTTTGACATTGTGGTGTAATCGCCAAAAATCGTGGAAAGAACTATACCTATACCTGTTAATTAGACCTTTGAAAAGCATTTTCTTACCCCAAATAAACCTCTCAGTAGATCCGTTAGTCCCTGGAAGTCATATGTTCCGTCTGGGTTTTGCTGCAAGAAACAAAAAAATGTATATTATTACTAGATAGATGGTCTGCTCTTGAAAAAGTTAAGCGATTTATCACTTTCTTGCTTATTTTAATTCCTTTCACAATATTTCTCACTTTTAAATAGCCTCTCTACTCATTTTCAATACGGGTCAAGTTAGCGTATTTAAATTAGGAGTGATAAAATTGATCCATGAATATTATATTTTAGGGTAAAAATACCAGTTAAAAACAGCAAGTCGGCAGCTGATCGCCATCTTAGAACATTTCTTTAAATAGAAATCTAAGTTCACGATCTTTCAAAATGGACGTTGCCCATAACTCAATAACTAGTCAGCAGGATGTTATAGTAAGTTACACAAATCTCCTCTGGGAAGGGTCAATCTGAATATGCAATAAAATATGGGACATTCAGTCATGCAAAAATGTATGGATTTTGTCAATTGCTGTAAGTGTATTGTTCCATATTTCATGATACGTTGCGGTAAGTCCTTCCAAAATAAAAAGGTTTATATAACGTACTACATATACAGTATTTTGAGATTTGTTGTTGAGCTATCATCGACATGAAGTGCAAAAACGTTTTAGTTTGAAAGATAGAGATTTTATATTTTCGGGTTATGCAGAACTGAAAAAATCTTTCAAGATGGCGCCCAACTGTCATCTTAACTTTCAACTACCGCTTTTACGTTACATGCATAAATTTCGTTTCCCCGAATTTCGGCTTGACTTGTTCAGAAAACAACCTTTTTAAAAAGCACTGTATCAGTTGTAATCTTGACCGAAATATCATACTTACGATGCTCAAACTTCCTAGTAATCCTACTATGGCGTCCAGGTCAATACCTCCTTCAGGCTATAAAGAAAGTAAATTCAGTGTACACATGAGCTAACTACTAATTACAGCAATGTGCAACAATTTATTTTGAATCATACGCTACTAGTATGTATTATTATTCAGAAAGAGAATACACTTATACCAAGTGCATTTCTCATAAATCTTCAACAGTAATCAACATTTGTTTTCCATTCAGATTCGCTCTATCAAAGTCTAGATGAATTCAGAGTTCAATAATTACCGTACTGAGGCCTCCAAGAAAGGCAGATAGCAAACCCGTAAGCATATTTTCCTCTTCCTCACTGCTCTCCTCTTGAGACTCCTTGCTTTTAAACTCCGGGTCATCTTCAGTGGAGTTGCCGTTAGGTTGTTGTCTAGGAGACCTGGTATCTTCATCGATCTCTTCAGAAGACGTGCTATTGTATAGCGATATTTCCGAATTCTCGGTTGTGTTTTGGTTGGTATCCGTTTTGTTAGCCAATGTCACATCAGCCAAAGAAGCGTTAGTATTCGTCGAGTTCTGTAACAGCAACAACTGCTTCAAAATTTCATAAGAATTTTAATAAGAATTCAGTTCAGTGCGTTAGTTCTCCGCTCATGAAGAACCATCTCTCCTCTGAAATGCCTTAAACCGATAGAGGAGTATTAGTAAGTTGAGACAAGGCTTGATAGTATGTAGTGAATGTTGTGGAACAAAGCTCAGAGCAGTACATCGCAACCACTGGACCGAAATTGTGTGGAAAATGTAAATATCCCCCATATTTATTGATTTTTTCCGTCAAAGACTTAACCTAGTCCAGGACGTATCTTTGTATCCGCTCGGAAGAATATTCTGCCAGGCCCAAAATTGCGTCAAAAATCGTTAAAATATGCTTTCGCTACAGATAGTTTTTTTCATGGTTTTTTTGGTCATTCAGAATAAAAAGAGGTTCTAACCAAATACGTGGAGTTGCCGTTAGAGTATACTGAATTCCGTCAAAGTAATGATAGCCTCAAAATTTCATGCCTTAGTTTTTCTCTCGCCAAAAGCTACTCTCCCTCTGAAATACATACTTGAAAATGATAGACGTTGACAGGCAAGGTCCAGGTAGTCTATCGTAACCATCGGACCAAAACAATCTTACCTTATATTTTTTTATGTCAATAAAACCATGACTTGCCTGTCGATATGTCCAATATTTAACTTCTCTATAACTTGGAGATTACCAACGAATTGTTTTGATCAACATTACGAAGTCAATAGTCAGGATGCAAGTGCATGCTACAAGTCAGCTGTTGGCATTTTGCGTTAAATTAGTATTTTGTATTCCATGATATATAGTCGAGGTGTTCCAGACAAATACCGAAAGTGATGAAGGCTTTTGTTGATTGCAAAAAGCAGCGTAAGCTGAATAAAAACAGGCCTTCCTATCCATAAGTCATGAAAGACCACGTTCTCAAGATTGGGCTTTTGCCTGGACAGTTGTAGTTAAACTACTTTTTTCTTTGAGTACTCAATTCCAATCTAAAGTTTGTTTACAAACTATTATACCTACCGTAATATTGGAAAACGAAAAATATTGGATACCATCGAAAATTTTGGACGGATACTCAAAGGGGTCAACCGAAACTCTAAAATTCAGTCTTGTCTACTTTCATTTTGATTATAAATGTTCCTAGGCAAGGTCTTTGCTTTCACGTTATATGTACACCAATTTTACGTTACCTGATTTTATTGCCACAAGATTCCGTTAAGGAAGCTGAGTTCGCCCAAAAAGCGACTATGAATGCCAAATCGATTAAATCACTTCCACAATCACGAAATAATCCAGAATTATTCACATGCTGTCTCGATAATAACTATCTTTTACAGGTTCTGTTCCTTCTAACGAATTTGTTGGATACTATCTTGACACAAAGTTACTACTATGCCAAAGATGGCAAAACTTTGCAGGTTTTGAGAGCCGGTCTTGCTCACCGTTTTTCAGTCGCTCACATGGCTAGTAAAGAAAATATTTAGATGAAGGCTTTGAAGCCATACAAGCATCTCCTTCCAAATTTCAAAGACCCTAGTTTTCTCTGATCACAATTATTATTATTATTATTATATATATCAGTCCCTGGATGGTGCTGATTCAAGTGAATGTATTGTTTTCTTTGTTACTACTTCTTGCACATATCAGATAGACCAAACTTCAAATATTGTTTTTTGTGATGTTTAAAACATAACACCGCCTCACATCATAGTTTATCCGATCTAATCAAATTCCAGTGTTTCAACTTAGCGAAAGTGAATGGCTCTTAACTATTGAACATCATGCACTTAAAAAATTGAAGCAATCCTATTATGTACCATCCTCAGCATACACGTACCTTTAAAAATCGACATACAAGCCAATTATAAAATAAATGGACCATATGTTAACTAATATATTACGTGTCGAGGTAGTATTTGTTTCCATTCATCGTTAGATATACAGTAATTTTAGCATTAGCAACATTAATTTGCATATTGGGCAAGTACACCGACTGCATATACAATTAAGAGGTGCTATTTTTATGATAAACAGCAATAAAGTGGTCTCACTAATAAGCATATTGCTACACATATTGGAATAAAAAATTAGAGACAAAGAAATAGTGATTGTCGCTGATACGCTTGGGTTAAATAGTAATTGCCATATTCGTGTACCGTTAAAGTAGTTTATGCGTGTGCCTATTGTTTCCAACATTTTTGTTTCAGTATTTCTGTACGTGAGATGATTCCATCTTGCGTAACTCCAGTTAGCTTCTTAGGATTGTATCTATATATTTGATCATTATGCTCTTTTAAGACGAACTAGAGCTACTAATTTGTTGCCAGAGTTTCCTGTAGATTCTGCACGGAGTTTCTTTTGCTCTTGCTTGTTTTCCAAAGAGATACTACCTGGTCTGGTGGCATGAAAGGCTGACTATGTATTTCTTCAACATTATCCGCAGTTGTTGCCTCATCATAAATCTCCACTTTGTTCAGAAGTTCCTTCGTATAATTCTTTATCGTGCAAGTGCCCAAATTCCAATATTCCTCGTACCGAAAGCAAGTACTCGGTCTAGACACAGAGTGACTCAAGAAACAATGTTAATGTTTCTAGAGCAAAAAGTCCAGTCATTTTCTCCATATTGGATGTATAATACAAGTACAAAAATTTAGGTACATACTATATATTAAGCTACTCAAAAGATACATTTTTTCGATTTCGAAATTATAACTTGGTTACTTTTAGCAACATAAGCTTTCGCGTTATTTTCGATCTACATAGTTTATGTTTTATAAGGTGGTCATTCCTTTCTTGCCTGCGTTCAGTTCTTATTACCATACCCAAATAAGTTTAGATATAAATCTATGTCTTTCTAGCGCTTTGCTTGGGGCTCAATGATTATAATTATAATTATTTCACCGCTACATGACCGATTCTGAAAACCTGCAAAGCTTTTTCGCCCTTGAATTTGTACCAAAATTTCTGCAAAATTGGGGCATAGTCAACACCCCGTTAAACTGAATATCTTTGATTAGATACAAACCAAATCGGATATCGAATAAATGTGGTTATAATCCCACTTTTAGACCTAAGCTTTCTAGATTATCTAACGTAGGTACACCGCACTTTTTTCGTGTGTGGATTAAATCGATACCATAGCAGATATAATCTATATCATTATGCTATCAGTATGTCACAAATGTTCAGAGTTCAAGAGCACTGACGGGTGTTATACAGTCAGTTTTTATGTAAAATTACACTCTTAACTTTTTTATTTCTATTCATTTCGATGTTTGTAACCACTTTACCCGGGGGCCTAAGCAAACTGGATGATGTGCATATTTTTTGGATATGTACGAAATAGCTACTACAACAGCTATTATGCTTTTATGTTATGGAACCGGATAAATATGGAATCAGTTCAAATATTTTCATCAATTCAATACCGGGTACTTCAAATTCGATTCTTACCATTGGGATCTCGGATATGATGAAGGAGATGAGGAAGATGGCCTGATTAGAATTTCGATATGACGTTTTATCTCTTGTCCTTAGTCATCAACTTTATTTTTTCTTTCAGGCGCCATTGTGGATTTTTTATGCTGATTTAAAAAAGGTATAATTGTCATGTATTGACTTATCGAATACAACAAACATTATATTGGCATGGTGGAGTTGCTTTAAACAATACTTCAGCAGTAGACTTATAGTGCATTTGAATACAGATGTCTGCATCGGTTTAAACATGGCAGATGTAAAATGTGTTAATGTGTTAGAGGCGTTTATTTACTCCAAAATATTTCAGTTATATAAAATAATACTCTTTACAATACGACCATTAAATACTGTAACATGTACAAGTTTTGTTAGGTTATTCTGTTCACCTATTCCTAGTTAGTACTTAGGAAATTCTGTTCTTTTTGAAATAACTGGTTTGGCAATGTCAATGTATGACATTGCCAAACATATACATTTTTAGAATCAGAAGTATAATAATATAATATACAGGATGGCGCATCGAAAACGAAACGGACGCATTTACTGGCAGCTCAGTTTTTTTTTAATAACGCTCGGACCCGTCGATTTTGTTTTCGAAGGGGACACAAGTTTGGCAAGCCCCCTAAGCGGGGGTGACACCGCCCCCAAAATCTTAAATGGAAAGGGGGGTCGAGTGATACCTTAGTTTAAAGGTCTTTCAAGTCCCTTTATAATGATATAAAATTGATGTACTTCAGTTTAGTAGTTTTGAAGATTTATTGATTTAAAGCTTAAATAAAACTAATACATTATCATTAGTGGAGATCAATACATTTGGCAGCAAAGTAATTTAAAAATGAAGAATGCACTGACCCGTTAGGCAAGTAAATGTTAAAAATGGCCACCATGCAATAATAAAGATTTTGCTCAAAACGTTGCCGCACATTTTGCAATATTTGATGAGTAATTTGAAGGCACTCATTCACAATTCTTTGTCGCAGGTTACGGTTCTCATGTCGCTCATTAAATATTTCTGCTGTTCTATTAGCGCACTGATTATTTTCTAAAAATATTTCGATAACTTCAACTCTTTCTGCTGTGGAATATACTATTGTTAATTTATGTAATAAAGCGTTACAAGTTATTTTAGCAACAAAGTTTGGTCGAATCAATCGCAAGCTATGTACTAAATTCCTATTTAAAATAAGTACGAGATATTTCCTTATCTTTCTTCAAGAAGTAACTTTTTTGCCACAAAAAAACGCGCCAATAGCTATTTTCAACAAAAAAATGATAAAAAACCATGGGCGTAGTGAACAAAAGCATTTACTTATTAAGTAAATTCTTTTAGTCAAATTTCTTCTGAAAGTAGTACAAACTAATCTGATCTACCTATTAAAGTCTACTTCAAGCTTTAAATCAATAAATCTTCAAAACTACTGAACGGAAGCTCATGTATTTTACATCATCATAAAGGGAATTGAAAGTCCTTTAAAATAAGGTATCACTCGACCCCCCTTTCTATTTAAGATTTTAGGGTTGGTGT